TGCAGACATTACAGTGAAATGCTTACTTACAGCCCTTAACCAACAGTGCATTCATTTTTTATAAAAAAGTAAATAAAACAACAACAAAAAAGTGTTGAGAAAAAAAGAGCAGAAGTAAAATTAAATAACAGTAGGGAGGCTATAATACAGGGGGGTACCGGTGCAGAGTCAATGTGCGGGGCTAGTTGAGGTAGTTGTAATATGTACATGTGGGTAGAGTTAAAGTGACTATGCATAAATAATTAACAGAGTAGCAGCAGCGTAAAAAGACGGGGTGGGGGGGGCAGTGCAAATAGTCCGGGTAGCCATGATTAGCTGTTCAGGAGTCTTATGGCTTGGGGGTAGAAGCTGTTGAGAAGTATTTTGGACCTAGACTTGGCACTCCGGTACCGCTTGCCGTGCGGTAGCAGAGAGAACAGTCTATGACTAGGGTGGCTGGAGTCTTTGACAATTTTGAGGGCCTTCCTCTGACACCGCCTGGTATAGAGGTCCTGGATGGCAGGAAGCTTGGCCCCAGTGATGTACTGGGCCGTACGCACTACCCTCTGTAGTGCCTTGCGGTCAGAGGTCAAGCAGTTGCCATACCAGGCGGTGATGCAACCAGTCAGGATGCTCTCGATGGTGCAGCTGTAGAATTTTTTGAGGATCTGAGGACCCATGCCAAATCTTTTCAGTCTCTTGAGGGGGAATAGGCTTTGTCATGCCCTCTTCACGACTGTCTTGGTGTGTTTGGACCATGATAGTTCGTTGGTGATGTGGACACCAAGGAACTTGAAGCTCTCAACCTGTTCCACTACAGCCCTGTCGATGAGAATGGGGGCGTGCTCAGTCCTCTCTTTTTTCCTGTAGTCCACAATCATCTCCTTTGTCTTGGTCATGTTGAGGGAGAGGTTGTTATCCTGGCACCACACGGCCAGGTCTCTGACCTCCTCCCTATAGGCTGTCTCATCGTTGTCGGTGATCAGGCCTACCACTGTTGTGTCGTCTGCAAACGTAATGATGGTGTTGGAGTCGTGCCTGGCCATGCAGTCATGGGTGAACAGGGAGTACAGGAGGGGACTGAGCACGCACCCCTGAGGGGCCCCCGTGTTGAGGATCATTGTGGCAGATGTGTTGTTACCTACCCTTACTACCTGGGGGCGGCCCGTCAGGAAGTCCAGGATCCAGTTGCAGAGGGAGGTGTTTAGTCCCAGGGTCCTTAGCTTAGTGATGAGCTTTGAGGGCACTATGGTGTTGAATGCTGAGCTGTAGTCAATGAATAGCATTCTCACGTAGCTGTTCCTCTTGTCCAGGTGGGAAAGGGCAGTGTGGAGTGCAATAGAGATTGCATCATCTGTGGATCTGTTGGGGCGGTATGCAAATTGGAGTGGGTCTAGGGTTTCTGGGATAATGGTGTTGATGTGAGCCATGACCAGCCTTTCAAAGCACTTCATGGCTACAGATGTCAGTGCTACGGGTCGGTAGTCATTTAGGCAGGTTATCTTAGTGTCCTTGGGCACGGGGACTATGGTGGTCTGCTTGAAACTCCTTTCAATGGCGCCCTGCTCCGGAGAGTCACAGTTCTTGTCCCCAGTCGCATGGTGCGGAGCGCATGCTCCCTCTGGACGGCAGAAACGCAGAAAATCAACACGATTCCACTTTGAGTCACCGACCCAACATTCCCCAACCTCTTCTCCACCCAACCTGACACCACATATGGAACAGCCAGAAGGCAAGGATCCATTCTCTCCAAACATCTCACTTCCACTGGGCAAAAAAACATCTTTATCACCATCGGGACGAAGCTCAAACTTGGCGGTCTTCACCGCATCTGCAACCGCAGTTAGTTCATCCTCACTCTCGTCATGTTCAATTTCCTTCTGCAGCACTCCATATTTACTCTTAATATGTTCCACTTTATTCATTTTTTTTCCCCAGCTCGCCATCTTACCAACCTCAATGGGTTCCCCTGACTCCATCTCCAAGTCTGACATCCATTCAGGCCTACCCGCCATCTTGTGACTCATGACCGTCCCCTAACTACAGATCTGCACGCAGTGAACCTGCAAGGGAGGCTGGGAAAGACAACACGTAAAATCCCCCAGTTCACGGGTTGTCCTTCCGCTGCTCTGTTGTTCGCTACATACACTGAACAAAAATATAAACACATGTAAAGTGTTGGACCCATGTTTTATGAGTTGAAATAAAAGATCCCAGAAACTTTCCATACGCACAAAAATATTATTTATTTAAAATATCCAAGTTAGGAGTTTCTTACATCCCTGTTAGTGAGTATTTTATCCTTTGTCAAGATAATCCATCCACCTTACAGGTGTGGCATATCAAGAAGCTGATTAAACAGCATGATCATTACACAGGTGCACCTTGTGCTGGGGACAATAAAAGGCCACTCTAAAATGTCACAAAACACAATGCCACAGATGTCGCAAGTTTTGAGGGAGCGTGCAATTGGCATGCTGACTACAGGAATGTTCAACAGAGCTGTTGCCAGAGAATTGAATGTTAATTTCTCTACCATTAGCCACCTCCAACGTTGTTTTAGAGAATTTGGCAGTATGTCCAACCGGCTTCACAACCGCAGACCACGTGTAACCACGCCAGCCCAGGACCTCCACATCCGGCTTCTTCACCTGCGGGATCGTCAGAGGGGGGTGGGGGGTGCGGAGGAGTATTTCTGTCTGTAGTAAAGCCCTTTTGTGGGGAAAACTCATTCTGATTGGCTGGGCCTGGCTCCCAAGTGGGTGGACCTATGCCCTCCCAGGCCCATCTATGGCTGCGCCCCTGTCCAGTCATGTGAAATCCATAGGTTAGGGCCTAATGAATTCATTTCAATTGACTGATTTCCTTATATGAACTGTAACTCAGCAAAATCTTTGAAATTGTTGCATGTTGCGTTTATATTTTTGTTCAGTAACTTTAGTCTGAGACTGCCATCGTTGATGTCGTTTGTGTTGACGAGGGGCGTTGTACAAAACAAAGTCATAACCAATCAGAGTATCAAAGACAATGACACATTTTCAAACCACTGCTTTACCCATGTGTGTTCAGGCACTGGCCCGACTCATCGATTTCTGACCAATCAGACGGCCTCGAATGTGTTGGCGTTCGGTGAAGGGTCAGGGAGATACTCAGATCCAGACTCATTGCAGAGAAAAAATGTCTGTGGGCGTGGCGTTTGGTTAGAGCAAGGGGGTTTTCTCATTTGACAAAAAGACCATCCTTTCTCCTCCATAACTTGGAAGCTGATAAGGTCGTGTGGTCGAGGAGTGTGTCAATTCGTCAGTAGGCTAACGGGAGTGTCCTCCCCTCCTTGATACCATAGCCACATTTCATCGAGGATACTCAGATACTCATGTGTATCCTACACCCCCGTTGAATCAGCTTTTGCTTTGTCAGAGGAGAAAAACATGCACACGTTCAAAAATAATGCTACTTATTGTTTTATCTATAAAATGTCTTGCACAACTAACTTAATTAGTTTTGATCACTTTACACATTTATTTTGGGATCCACCCCTGTAAACATAATCTGCCTAATGATTTACGAGTGGAGAAGGACCATATCATTTCAAGCAAGCGCATTTTCATCCACGTTCACTCTCTTCAACGACTCTCCTCGATTAATTTTGACCATAATCAAAAGGAGGCGAGAGAGGACGCAGGAGGTGAGCCCATCTCATTGATAAAGGGCCAAGGTAGCCAGGCAAGGCAAGTCTCAAGGATCCCGGATAGCGCTAATCTTTTAGAAACGCATACACTACCCATCATCCCCAGCTGCCATTACGCAGACCAGGAAGAACGTGACGCTAATTCTTCCATGGTACACAGTAGCTGTATTTTACAATATCATAACTGTAGTACTGTGATTTTTGCTGGAATCCTAACGGTCGAGTGGTGAGATAATTAAGCGTACTAGCAACACAGTTTGTGCGCGAGTATGGTTCGCTTATGTTAGCTTGCTAGCATTTCTGATAGGTCGTTTGTTGCTATTAAGTATTATTTCGACGGGGCCCAAAACGCGGTAAAAACATCCAAGGCAAATGAAGCATTAACCTGTGAAATTAGATTCATTTTTTTGTTTAACAAGTGTGAAAGCGTATTTGCTCGTTTGTTATTGATTAAACTACCAAACCAGCTAAATACGTTGTGTGGGTTACCGTAGCAGGCAAGGTGGCGCTGTCTTTGCTCAATTAACTTGAGTGAATTCTTACATGGGCTTAAACATGTTTTACTTACTGTAATGACCCAACTGTCTGTCTCTCTCTCTCTGTCTGTCTGTCTCTCTCTCTCTCTCTCTCTCTCTCTCTCTCTCTCTCTCTCCTCTCTCTCTCTCTCTCTCTCTCTCTCTCTCTCTCTCCTCTCTCTCTCTCTCTCTCTCTCTCTCTCTCTCCTCCCTTCCATCTCAGTCTACATCTTTACTGTACTCTCTCTTCTTCTGCCTCTTGTTCTCTTCTTTTTCGTGCAGACGTCCATCTCTTACATCTCAAAGAAACATACCCCATTCCAGGGTCGACGACCACATGGCTTTTGTAGACTACTCTGTTTTAACCAAAACTCATATCTCAGGTATACGGGAGGCCATGCTGTGTGTCCTCTTGGAACTTTGTCTGCTAATGCTCAAATCAGAATTGTTCATCGTCTCTCTTCAGGAGTCTAAAAAGAACCACAATACCTTTTCAGCTCTACTAGACCACATGCTATAGAGTCATGGGCTTGTTTTGAAGCATCTTATCATGTGCATTTTGGTCTCAAGGATTGAGAGGGAGGGATGACTGTGGCTTAACTAGTGGTGTTTTCCTGGCTCTGACCCGCTCAATGCAGACTTTCGTCAGCAGGATGGTCTTTGGCATACTCATGGTTTGTGTATACCATGCAATATTACTTTGATGTGAATTTCTCTTTTACACCCATCTATAGAATAGTCTTGGGATTTATTTGAAGGATTTCTCTCTTTTCAGTGACAGTCTTCCTGGTGTGAGAGCGATAAGAGAGGCAGTCAGGATGAGTGGAGCTGCGCTGGGCATTGAGATAGTGGTGGTGTTCTTCCTGGCTCTGTTCCTGCTGCATCGCTATGCAGACTTCCGTAAGCAGCAGAGGATGGTGCTGTTTGGCACCTTGCTGGCCTGGTACCTGTGTTTCCTCATCGTCTTCATTCTTCCTCTGGACATCAGTACGGTTAGTACTATTGCCCTCATTCACCACCAAAGCTCCATCTTATCCATTCCCTTTTTCAAGAAACTCCTAACTTGGATGAAAATGGTGACCCGTAACTTGGTGTGTCTGTGTGTTTGCAGACCTTTCTGATATCAAATCAAATTTTATTTGTCACATGCTTCATAAAACAACAGGTGTGCATTAACAGTGAAATGCTTACTTACGGGCCCTTTCCAACAATGCAGAGAGAAAGAAAATAGAGAAATAATAGAAAAGTAAAACACATAATAATAAAAGTAATAATAGATACACAATGAGTAACGATAACTTGGCTATATACAAGGGCTACCAGTACCGAGTCGATGTGCAGGGGTGTATATATATATATATATATATATATATATATATATATATAAAAATCACCTTTATTTAACCAGGTAAGCCAGTTGAGAACAAGTTCTCATTTACAACTGCGACCTGGCCAAGATAAAGCAAAGTAGTGCGATAAAAACAACAACACAGAGTTACATATGGGGTAAAAAAATACATAAAGTCAAAAAAATATATATATATATATATATATACAGTGTGTGCAAATGTAGCAAGTTATGGAGGTAAGGCAATAAATAGGCTATAGTGCAAAAATAATTACAATTAGTATTAACACTGGAATGCTAGATGTGCAAGAGATGATGTGCAAATAGAGATACTGGGGTGCAAAAGAGCAAAATAAATAACAACATAGGGATGAGGTAGTTGGGTAGGCTAATTTCAGATGGGCTGTGTACAGATGCAGTGATCGGTAAGGTGCTCTGACAACTGATGCTTAAAGTTAGTGAGGGAGATAAGAGTCTCCAGCTTCAGAGATTTTTGCAATTCGTTCCAGTCATTGAGGTAGATACAGTGGGGGAAAAAAGTATTTAGTCAGCCACCAATTGTGCAAGTTCTCCCACTTAAAAAGATGAGAGAGGCCTGTAATTTTCATCATAGGTACACGTAAACTATGACAGACAAAATGAGAAAATCACATTGTAGGATTTTTTATGAATTTATTTGCAAATTATGGTGGAAAATAAGTATTTGGTCAATAACAAAAGTTTCTCAATACTTTGTTATATACCCTTTGTTGGCAATGACACAGGTCAAACGTTTTCTGTAAGTCTTCACAAGGTTTTCACACACTGTTGCTGGTATTTTGGCCCATTCCTCCATGCAGATCTCCTCTAGAGCAGTGATGTTTTGGGGCTGTCGCTGGGCAACACGGACTTTCAACTCCCTCCAAAGATTTTCTATGGGGTTGAGATCTGGAGACTGGCTAGGCCACTCCAGGACCTTGAAATGCTTCTTACGAAGCCACTCCTTCGTTGCCCGGGCGGTGTGTTTGGGATCATTGTCATGCTGAAAGACCCAGCCACGTTTCATCTTCAATGCCCTTGCTGATGGAAGGAGGTTTTCACTCAAAATCTCATGATACATGGCCCCATTCATTCTTTCCTTTACACGGATCAGTCGTCCTGGTCCCTTTGCAGAAAAACAGCCCCAAAGCATGATGTTTCCACCCCCATGCTTCACAGTAGGTATGGTGTTGGGGCGGCGCGCATTTGGCCCAGCGTCGTCCAGGGTAGGGGAGGGAATGGCCGGCAGGGATGTAGCTCAGTTGGTAGAGCATGGCGTTTGCAACGCCAGGGTTGTGGGTTCGATTCCCACAGGGGGTATGAAAAAATAAAAAATAATGTATGCACTAACTGTAAGTCGCTCTGGATAAGAGCGTCTGCTAAATGACTAAAATGTAAATGTGTTCTTTGGATGCAACTCAGCATTCTTTGTCCTCCAAACACGACGAGTTGAGTTTTTACCAAAAAGTTCTATTTTGGTTTCATCTGACCATATGACATTCTCCCAATCCTCTTCTGGATCATCCAAATGCACTCTAGCAAACTTCAGACGGGCCTGGACATGTACTGGCTTAAGCAGGGGGACACGTCTGGCACTGCAGGATATGAGTCCCTGGCGGCGTAGTGTGTTACTGATGGTAGGCTTTGTTACTTTGGTCCCAGCTCTCTGCAGGTCATTCACTAGGTCCCCCCGTGTGGTTCTGGGATTTTTGCTCACCGTTCTTTTGATCATTTTGACCCCACGGGGTGAGATCTTGCGTGGAGCCCCAGATCGAGGGAGATTATCAGTGGTCTTGTATGTCTTCAATTTCCTAATAATTGCTCCCACAGTTGATTTCTTCAAACCAAGCTGCTTACCTATTGCAGATTCAGTCTTCCCAGCCTGGTGCAGGTCTACAATTTTGTTTCTGGTGTCCTTTGACAGCTCTTTGGTCTTGGCCATAGTGGAGTTTGGAGTGTGACTGTTTGAGGTTGTGGACAGGTGTCTTTTATACTGATAACAAGTTCAAACAGGTGCCATTTAATACAGGTAAAGAGTGGAGGACAGAGGAGCCTCTTAAAGAAGTTGTTACAGGTCTGTGAGAGCCAGAAATCTTGCTTGTTTGTAGGTGACCAAATACTTATTTTCCACCATAATTTGCAAATAAATTCATTAAAAATCCTACAATGTGATTTTCTGGATTTTTTTTCCTCAATTTGTCTGTCATAGTTGACGTGTACCTATGATGAAAATTACAGGCCTCTCTCATCTTTTTAAGTGGGAGAACTTGCACAATTGGTGGCTGACTAAATACTTTTTTCCCCACTTAAGTGCCTTCAGAAAGTATTCAGACCCCTTGACTTCTTCCACATTTTGTTACGTTATAGCCTTATTCTAAAATGGATTAAATAAATATAAATCCTCAGCAATCTACACACAATACCCCATAATGACAAAGCGAAAACAGCTTTTTAGAAATTCTAGCAAATTTACTACAAATAAAAAACAGAAATACCTTATTCTACCTGTGGTAAATTCAATTGATTGGACATGATTTGGAAAGGCACACAACTGTCTATAAAAAGTCCCAAAGTTGACAGTGCATATCACAGCAAAAACCAAGCCATGAGGTCGAAGGAATTGTCCGTAGAGCTCAGAGACAGGATTGGGTCGAGGCACAGATCTGGGGAAGAGTACCAAAACATTTCTGCAGCATTGAAGGGCCCCAAGAACACAGTGCCCTCCATCATACTTAAATGGAAGAAGTTTGGAACCACCAAGACCCTTCCTAGAGCTGGCCAAACGGAGCAATCGGGGGAGAAGGGCCTTGGTCAAGGAGGTGACTAAGAACCCAATGGTCACTCTGACAGAGCTCTAGAGTTCCTCTGTGGAGATGGGAGAACCTTCCAGAATGACAACCATCTCTGCAGCACTCCACCAATCAGGCCTTTATGGTAGAGTGGTCAGACGGAAGCCACTCCTCAGTAAAAGGCACATGACAGCCCGCTTGGTGTTTGCCAAAAGGCACCTAAAGGGTAAATGCAGATAGTCCTGGTAGGTATTTAACTAAACTATTTAACTAAACTATTTAACAGTCTTATGGATTGGGGGTAGAGGCTGTTCAGGGTCCTGTTGGTTCCAGACTTGGTGCATCGATACCACTTGCCGTGCGGTAGCAGAGAGAACAGTCTATGACTTCGGTGGCTGGAGTCTTTGACAATTTTCAGGGACTTATCTTCCTTTGTCTGTGTGTTTGTTTGGACCTTTCAGACAATCTACAAGCAATGTAAGATTGATCATGAAGAACATGCCTCCGTATCCACGGTGACCCCACTGCTCTCCAATCAAACTGCAGGAAACGCAACTACGGCCACACCCACTAAAAGGTTAGTGCCTAAGTCATCATATGTTCACGTGTCATAGGATTAGGTTCAGCACTCAGGGGAATGACATGACAGGTCAGGATTTGGTTGAACAAAACACTAGCATGTGCAGTAGTTACCAACGACCAGGGAAGAGGGTCCTAGACAGAAAGCAGAAGGCAGGAACCACTGCTGTAATTCAAAACATGAGACCGTGTTTTAGCCGTCTTCTCAAACCGGTTTTGCAGAAGCTGATCTAAATAAGATTACCAGGCAGATTTTGTTTATCTTCTGTCACACATTCATTTGCAACAGCTAAAAGTCCACTCTCTTCCCATCATGAAATGTCAAGTACGTCGGGTCATTTTTATACTGAACAAAAATAGAAACGCAACATGCAACATTTTCATTGATTTTACGGAGTTACAGTTCATATGAGAAAATAGGTCAATTGAAATAAATTCAATAGACCCTAATCTATGGATTTCACATGACTGGGAATACAGATATGCATCTGTTGGTCACACAATGGGCATCAGGATCTCGTCACTGTATTTTTGAGCATTCAAATTGCCATTGATAAAATGCAATTGTGTTCGTTGTCCGTAGCTTATCCCTGCCCATACCATAACTCCACCGCCACCATGGTGCACTCTGTTCACAACATTGACATCAGCAAACTGCTCGCCTCCACAACGGCATCCACATGGTCTGCAGTTGAGGCCGGTTGGACGTACTGCTAAATTCTCTAAAACGATGTTGGAGGCGGCTTATGGTAGAGAAATGAACATTAAATTATCTGGCAACAGCTCTGGTGGACATTCCTGCAGTCAGCATGTCAATTGCACGCTCCCTCAACCCCTCAAGACATCTGTGGCATTGTGTTGTGTGACAAAACTGCTCATTTTAGTGTGGCCTTTTATTGTCCCCAGCACAAGGTGCACCTGTGTAATGATCATGTTCTTTAATCAGCTTCTTGATATGCCACACCTGTCAGGTGGATGGATTATCTTGGCAAAGGAGAAATGCTCACTAACAGGGATGTAAACAAATGTGTGCACAAAATTTGAGCAAAATAAGCTTTTTTTGCATCTGGAAAATTTCTGGGATCTTTTATTTCAGCTCATGAAACATGGGACCAACACTTTACATGTTCCGTTTATATTTAATTTTTTTCAGTGTAGTTTTGCTTGACTGTAGTTATGTACAGTGTTTTCTCCCTGACAGTCTGACATATTACCCTAATAGTCTATACAAGGCAAACATTGGGGTTTTAATAAGAAGATCAACGTTTGTGCTTTGCTCCAGTATCAATGTTTTTGATTCCTCCTAAATAGGTCACCATCAGTATAGCAGTAGGTAATAGCATCAGCTTTTGTCATTTCATTCCCCTCCAGATGTTGATTTCTTCAATGTTCCCAGACCTTGCTAACTGCATATCAACACTGTTTGTATGTTTTCCATGACAGTGTTCCAAAGGTGTGTTACAAGCCATGGAGCTATATTCCGGATGGAATCATGCCTGTGTTCTGGAGGGTTGTTTACTGGACATCTCAGTGTCTCACCTGGTGAGTGCTTGACACTGTTTGGCCTTGTATTTAATTGTACTGGAAACACTACTGATCAGAAATGGTCTCGAAGTTTGTTCATTTTGACTGATTTACTAAGAGACAGACAGACCGACCTTCCTTACTAAGTCAACTATCTGCCTCTGTCCCTACTAAAAATGTTATCTTAAAACACACCAAAAAAGCACACTCTACACCTGCCTTACTCCAGATCTTGTTGGCTTTGCAGGCTGCTTCTGCCCTTCATGCAATCGTATGCACGCTCGGGGGGCTTCTCCATCACTGGGAAAATAAAGACTGCACTGATAGAGAACGCCATTTATTACGGGACATACCTGCTCATCTTTGGATCGTTGCTTATCTATGTGGCCGTACACCCTCAGTGGCACCTCTCCTGGTGAGTGCACAGCAACATGGACAAATTAGACTTGAGGTTTGGAAAGTGGGCTGTTGACTACAAAAAAAAAAAAGTTCACATTCAGCATTTCAACACATTGTATTCTACACAACACAGTACTAACATAGAAAGGTAATTAGAAGGAACCATGTATGTCTCACTTAAATGTGGTTTGGTCTGTCCCCCTGTCTCTCTCCAGGTATGAGCTGCAGACAATAGGTATCACTGCAGCCAACACCTGGGGCCTGTTCCTGCTGGTGCTGTTGCTGGGTTATGGCCTGGTGGAGATTCCGCGTTCCTATTGGAACGCCTCGCGGCGGGGACACCTGCTCATCAAGACCTACTTCAAGGCAGCCAAGCTGATGACAGAGAAGGCTGATGCAGAGGAGAACCTAGAGGATGTCATGGAGGTAGGGAATGGTTTCTGCTCTGACTACAAAATGTAGACATTATAGCGGTCTGTTTCTTAGAAACTTTAATTGATGTCCTTCTCTATTTGCTGTGGATCTGTTTTAGGAAGTGAGAAAAGTCCAAGAATCAATCAAGTATAACCACCCACTGAGGAAGTACATCGATACTATTCTTAGAAAGGTAAGATTAAAGAAGGACAAAGCTTCACAAACAAAGAAACAATGACATATTCTTAGTGAAGAATGTGGAGCCCAACCCCACAATGTTATTGAGTGAGATGTGTGCACTCTCTCCACTCCATGTGCTTAAAGGGAAGATTAAACAAGTGAGGAATGTGGAGTGGCCTGAGAAAGTCCAGTGCCTTTGTTGATCCTAACCATAAACTTAGCTAGAGGTCCCATTATGGGGGTCTAGAGTCCTCTATCTATCACTATGATCCTAACAGAGTTTTCTCTCTTAGTGCCCTGTGGAGTACCAGGAGAAGATGGGCAGAAACATGGATGACTATGAGGACTTTGATGACAAACAGAACACCTATCCTAGTGAGAAGAACCTGGTGAAGCTTCACAAACAGGTAAAATTAAGAAATGTACACAGTATTAGCTAGTCAACAGTTTTATTTTGCAGACATTTTATTGTTTTCTTTGTCATTTTGCTGACTATATCCAGACTTCTGTATAGGGTGCATCCATTTGAATTCAATCACTTTTTGACAGCACCCCTTTTGATTTGAACGAAACCTTCCATACATACACTATATATACAAAAGTATGTGGACACCACTTAAAATGTGTGCATTCTGCTATTTCAGCCACATCCGTTGCTGACAGGTGTATAAAATCGAGCACACAGCCATGCAATCTTCACAGACAATCATTGGCAGTAGAATGGCCTTACTGAAGAGCCACCTTTCCAACAAGTCAGTTAGTTAAATTTCTGCCCTGCTAGAGCTGCCCCAGTCAACTGTATGTGCTGTTATTGTGAAGTGGAAACGTCTAGGAGCAACAACGGCTCAGCCGCGAAGTGGTAGGTCACACAAGCTCACAGAACGGGACCGCCGAGTGCTGAAGCGCATAGAGCGTAAAAATCGTCTGCTCTCGGTTGCAACACTCACTACCAAGTTCCAAACTGCCTCTGCAAGCAACGTCTGCACAATAACTGTTTGTCAGGAGCTTCATGAAATGGGTTTCCATGGCCGAGCAGCCGCACACAAGCCTAAGATCACCATGCGCAATACCAAGCGTCAGCTGGAGTGGTGTAAAGCTCGCCGCCATTGGACTCTGGAGCAGTGGAAACGCGTTCTCTGGAGTGATGAATCATGCTTCACCATCTTGCACCATCTGCCAGAAGAACGAACGCTACCTGCCCGAATGCATAGTGGCAACTGTAAAGTTTGGTGCAGGAAGAATAATGGTCTGGGGCTGTTTTTCATGGTTTGGGCTAGGCCCCTTAGTTCCAGTGATGGGAAATCTTAACGCTACAGCATACAATGACGTTCTAGACGATTCTGTGCTTCCAACTTTGTGGCAAAAGTTTGGGGAAGGCCCTTTCCTGTTTCAGCATGACAATGCCCTCGTGCACAAAGCGAGGTCCATACAGAAATGGTTTGTCGATCGGTGTGGAAGAACTTGACTGGCCTGCTCAGAGCCCTGACCTCAACCCCATCGAACACCTTTGGGATGAGTTAGTCCACCCAGCAATGTTCCAACATCTAGTGGAAAGCTTACCCAGAAGAGTGGAGGCTGTTATAGCAACAAAGGGGGGACCAACTCCATATTAATGACCGTGATTTTGGAATGAGATGTTCGACGAGCAGGTATCCACATACTTTTGTTCATATAGTGTATCCTCTGTAGCTCAGCTGGTAGAGCACGGCGCTTGTAACGCCAAGGTAGTGGGTTCGATCCCCGGGACCACCCATACACAAAAAATGTATGCACGCATGACTGTAAGTCGCTTTGGATAAAAGCGTCTGCTAAATGGCATATTATTATTATTATGTAGTGTAGGAATAACATTTACATTTCAACTTTCAAATTGTACCTCAAAGATGGTTGGAGGTCCACACATCAGAGAATGTTGACTTGAATGGGAATATCCATAGGAAAAATATAGAAATTATATAAATATAGATAATAGAATAGACATGACCATTTAAGTTGAGACTGTGGGTGGACTGGCGGCCATCTTTGTGGTAGGAATTAGAAGTTACAATTTCAATTTCAATGGTGTACCAGCAACACTGCAGTGGTCTAAAGGGATAGGTCCATTCTATGATTTTTATTTATATGATTGAAATGACACTCATCCTTTATTCCATCTGAGATTACACGTTTTTAGATCATTTACGTTAAAGGTTAAATGTCATAATTTGTATTACATAAAAATAAAAATAAATAGTTTGACAACCCTGTTTTGTAAGCTTTTAAATTATATCAAACTCAACTGTTTATCTTTTCCAGTGATGAAGTCATGGATGTCTCATGGTATGGTTGGGTATGCAAAATGGGTCAACTTTGAGCACCTCTGTTTTGGCATTTAGGTCTAAAAAGTCACTTTCTGACCACTTGGAAAGTTTTATTTAAATCAAAAGGGATGCTGTCAAAAAGTGAATGAATTCAAATGGATTTACTCTAAACCCTAATTTGAGGATGTGGTTCTTTGTGAATGGTCAGGTGATCTACGCAGTGCAGAGGCACAACAGGACCCATGTCCAGTGGCAGATCCTCCTGCAGCAGGCTATGCACCTGGAGGACGTGGCCAAGAATGAGACCAGCTCAGCCCACCAGTTTGTCCACAGCTTCCCCTCCACAGAACCAACTAGCTGGCTCAGCCCATACTTATACACTCCTACTGTAGGTGGGTCACACAGCTCCTCACAGTTCACACCTTCTGGGTCAACTCTACAACTGATGGTTCACTCACACCTACAAACAAAACACGAAGCAGATTTCACTTCTTTGGAAAACAGCCCTAATGTTGGAAACAAACATCATTATGTTGACATCAAGAATCATATTTATTTATTTTCCAAGCTATAGCACACAATATTTTACATTCAATAGGTTATTTAAAGGACCAAAGTGTTTGGTTAGCTTTGTGTTTTCATTTTTACCATGGACAAAAATATTGCGATACTGGTATTGTCACACCCCTACTGTGTGTCTTCCATTCCTCTCCTCACTTGGGATTTTACTCCATTTCTAAGATCCTTGGAGAGCTTATGTGTTTAATATGTTGTTCTTCTCCAGAGTGGTACTGGGAGTGCCTGCTGAGACAGTGGTTCTACCGGCTGCTGGCTGTGGTACTGTCTCTGTTCTCTGTGGGTGTGGTGTGGTCTGAGTGCACCTTCTTCAGCATCCACCCGGTCCTCTCACTCTTCGCTGTCTTCATCCAGCTCGCTGAGAGAGACTACAACTATTTGTACATCGAGGTGAGACGCCAATGGAAAGCAATTACCAGTGTACTACTGTACTAATTGGTGTATCTGGTAATATCTGTATAGAAAGAAAGTTGCACACTCTATACATGCTCCCAACAACGTTATCTTATCTGATCATATCAACATCCAGTGGGTTCCTGTTGTGTATGTATAATTAAATTGCAGGTTGTCAGGTCTCTCATGTGAAGGTTATTGTTTTGTCCACTAGATGGCGTGCTTCATCACCATCTTCTTCCTGTGTACCTGCGTTTACTCCACTGTGTTCCGGATCCGAGTGTTCAACTACTACTACCTGGCCTCACACCACCAGACTGACGCCTACAGCCTGCAGTTCAGTGGCATGTAAGTGACTGGGTGGTAGAGCGAAGTGAGGGGAGGAATGTGGGTCTGATTGGACAGCATTAGCTAAGTATTAATCTCTTGTAAACATTTCTACAGTACCAGTCAGAAGTTTGGACACACCTACTCATTCGATTTTTCTATATTTTTACTATTTTCTACATTGTAGAATAATAGTGAAGACATCAAAACTAAGAAATAACATATATGGAATCATGTAGTAACCATAAAAGTGTTAAACAAATAAAAATATATTTGAGATTCTTCAAATAGCCACCCTTTGCCTTGATGACAGCTTTGCACACTTATGGCATTCTCTCAACCAGCTTCACCTGGAATGCTTTTCCAACAGTCTTGAAGGAGTTCACACATATGCTGAGAACTTGTTGGCTACTTTTCCTTCACTCTGCCGTCCGACTCATCCCAAGCCATCTCGATTGGGTTGAGGTTGGGGGATTGTGGAGGCCAGGTCATCTGATGCAGCACTCCATCACTCTCCTTGGTAAAATAGCCCTTACACAGCCTGGAGGTGTGTTGGGTCATTGTTCTGTTGAAAAACAAATGATAGTCCCACTAAGCCCAAACCAGATGGGATGGCGTATCGCTGCAGAATGCTGTGGTAGCCATGCTGGTTAAGTGTGCCTTGAATTCTAAATAAATCACAGACAGTGTCACCAGCAAAGCACCCCCACACCACAGCATTCACCCACACCGCGTCTTACATAGACATAGCGGTTGGAACCAAAAATCTCAAATTTGGACTCCAGACCAAAGGACACATTTCCACCAGTCTAATGTCCATTGCTCGTGTTTCTTGGCCCAAGCAGGTCTCTTCTTCTTATTGGTGTCCTTTAGTAGTTTTTTATTTGCAGTAATTCGACCAGGAAGCCTGATTCACACAGTCCCCTCTGAACAGTTGATGTTGAGCTGTGTCTGTGACTTGAACTCTGTGAAGCATTTATTTGGGCTGCAATTTCTGAGGCTGGTAACGCTAATGAACTTAACTTCTGCAGCAGAGGTAAATCTGGGTCTTCCATTCCTGTGGCGGTCCTCATGAGAGCCCGTTTCATCATAGCGCTTGATGGTTTTTGCAACTGCACTTGAAGAAACGTTCAAAGTTCTTTAAATTTTCCATATTGACTGACCTTCATGTCTTAAAGTAATGGACTGTCGTTTCTCTTTGCTTATTTGAGCTGTTCTTGCCATAATATGGACTTGGTATTTAACCAAATAGGGCTATCTTCTGTATACCCCCCTACCTTGTCACAACACAACTAAATGGCTCAAACGCATTAAGTAAAGAAATTCCACAAATTAACTTTTAAGAAGGCACACCTGTTAATTGAAATGCATTCGAGGTGACTACCTCATGAAGCTGGTTGAGAGAATGCCAAGAGTGTGCAAAGTTGTCATCAAGGCAAAGGGTGGCTATTTGAACAATCTCAAATATACACTGCTCAAAAAAAAAGGGAACACAAAAATAACACATCCTAGATCTGAATGAATGAAATAATCTTATTAAATACTTTTTTCTTTACATAGTTGAATGTGCTGACAACAAAATCACACAAAAATTATCAATGGAAATCAAATTTATCAACCCATGGAGGTCTGGATTTGGAGTCACCCTCAAAATTAAAGTGGAAAACCACACTACAGGCTGATCCAACTTTGATGTAATGTCCTTAAAACAAGTCAAAATGAGGCTCAGTAGTGTGTGTGGCCTCCACGTGCCTGTATGACCTCCCTACAACGCCTGGGCATGCTCCTGATGAGGTGGCGGATGGTCTCCTGTGGGATCTCCTCCCAGACCTGGACTAAAGCATCCGCCAACTCCTGGACAGTCTGTGGTGCAACGTGGCATTGGTGGATGGATGGAGCGAGACATGATGTCCCAGATGTGCTCAATTGGATTCAGGTCTGGGGAACGGGCGGTCCATAGCATCAATGCCTTCCTCTTGCAGGAACTGCTGACACACTCCAGCCACATGAGGTCTAGCATTGTCTTGCATTAGGAGGAACCCAGGGCCAACCGCACCAGCATATGGTCTCACAAGGGGTCTGAGGATCTCATTTCGGTACCTAATGGCAGTCAGGCTACCTCTGGCGAGCACATGGAGTGCTGTGCGGCCCCCCAAAGAAATGCCACCCCACACCATGACTGACCCACCGCCAAACCGGTCATGCTGGAGGATGTTGCAGGCAGCAGAACGTTCTCCACGGTGTCTCCAGACTCTGTCACGTCTGTCACGTGCTCAGTGTGAACCTGCTTTCATCTGTGAAGAGCACAGGGCGCCAGTGGCGAATTTGCCAATCTTGGTGTTCTCTGGCAAATGCCAAACGTCCTGCACGGTGTTGGGCTGTAAGCACAACCCCCACCAGTGGACGTCGGGCCCTCATACCACCCTCACGGAGTCTGTTTCTGACCGTTTGAGCAGACACATGCACATTTGTGGCCTGCTAGAGGTCATTTTGCAGGGCTCTGGCAGTGCTCCTCCTGCTCCTCCTTGCACAAAGGCGGAGGTAGCAGTCCTGTTGCTGGGGGGGGGGACATTTGGCCCGTAACTTGCAAAGAGAGACGGTGGAGCTCCGCGTTCCACTCCTTGTTCTAGCATATCTTCATCTATTCTCTTAACACGTATGGACCCAGAACTTAATTGAGCAGCTGACCAATTAAGTGAGACTTTAGTTCTGGGTTAGCCAAGATTAGCTAAGTATCAAAGAGACAAAACGTCTGTATAAATCATGTATATGGTAAGAATTTAGGAAATTGACATTCAGAAAGTGGTATGTGTTTTTGGTTTTGCTGTATTTGTGGACAGAACTATACTGTATTTATGGACAGAACTATACTGTGTTTGTGGACAGAACTATACTGTATTTATGGACAGAACTATACTGTATTTGTGGACAGAACTATACTGTGTTTGTGGACAGAACTATACTGTGTTTGTGGACAGAACTATACTGTATTTATGGACAGAACTATACTGTACAATGTCCATACCATCCCTTACTTTGCCCCAGGTACAGTTGAAGTCGGAAGTTTACATACACTTAGGTTGTAGTCATTAAAACTCATTTTTCAACCACTCCACACATTCCTTGTTAACAAACTATAGTTTTGGCAAGTCGGTTAGGACATCTACTTTGTGCATGACACAAGTAATTTTTCCAACAATTGTTTACAGACAGATTATTTCACTTATAATTTACTGTATCACAATTCCAGTGGGTCAGAAGTTTACATACAATAAGTTGACTGTGCCTTTAAACAGCTTGGAAAATTCCAGAAAATGATGTCATGGCTTTAGAAGCTTCTGATAGGCTAATTGACATCATTTGAGTCAATTGGAGGTGTACCTGTGGATGTATTTCAAGGCCTACCTTCAAACTCAGTGCCTCTTTGCTTGACATCATGGGAAAATCAAAAGAAATCAGCCAAGACCTCAGAAAAAAATGTGTAGACTTCCACAAGTCTGGTTCATCCTTGGGGGCAATTTCCAAACACCTGAAGGTACCACGTTCATCTGTACAAACAATAGTACGCAAGTATAAACACCATGGGACCACGCAGCCGTCATACCGCTCAGGAAGGAGACACGTTCTGTCTCCTAGAGATGAACGTACTTTGGTGCGAAAAGTGCAAATCAATCCCAGAACAACAGCAAAGGACCTTGTGAAGATGCTGGAGGAAACAGGTACAAAAGTATCTATACCCACAGTAAAACAAGTCCTATATCGACATAACCTGAAAGGCCGCTCAGCAAGGAAGAAGCCACTGCTCCAAAACCGCCATAAAAAAGCCAGACTATGGTTTGCAACTGCACATGGGGAGAAAGATCGTACTTTTTGGAGAAATGTCCTCTGGTCTGATGGAACAAAAATAGAACTGTTTGGCCATAATGACCATCGTTATGTTTGGAGGAAAAAGGGGGACGCTTGCAAGCCGAAGAACACCATCCCAACCGTGAAGCACGGGGGTGGCAGCATCATGCTGTGTGGGTGCTTTGCTGCAGGAGGGACTTGTGCACTTCACAAAATAGATGGCATCATGAGGAAGGAAAATTATGTGGATATATTGAAGCAACATCTCAAGACATCATTCAGGAAGTTAAAGCTTGGTCGCAAATGGTTCTTCCAAAAGGACAATGACTCCAAGCATACTTCCAAAGTTGTGGCAAAATGGCTTAAGGACAACAAAGTCAAGGTATTGGAGTCACCATCACAAAGCCCTGACCTCAATCCTATAGAATATTTGTGGGCAGAACTGAAAAGGCGTGTGCGAGCAAGGAGGCCTACAAACCTGACTCAGTTACACCAGCTCTGTCAGGAGGAATGGGCCAAAATTCACCCAACTTATTGTGTGAAGCTTGTTGAAGGCTACCCAAAACGTTTGACCCAAGTTAAACAATTTAAAGGCAATGCTACCAAATACTAATTGTGTGTATGTAAACTTCTGACCCACTGGGAATGTGATGAAATAAATAAAAGCTGAAATAAATTGTTCTCTCTACTATTATTCTGACATTTCACATTCTTAAAATAAAGTGGTGATCCTAACTGACCTAAGACAGGGCATTTTTACTAGGATTAAATGTCAGGAATTGTGAAAAACTGAGTTTAAATGTATTTGGCTAAGATATATGTAAACTTCCGACTTCAACTGTATATGTTTGTGTAACATGATATAATGTTAAATGTCTAATGTAGTCTTGTTGCTCTTTAGGCTGTTCTGCCGTCTGACCCCTCCTCTGTGTCTGAACTTCCTGGGTCTGATCCACATGGACTCTGCCATCTCCCACCAACTGAAGGAGCAGACGGCCTACACCTCTGTAAAACACAACACATTCTTCTGACACTGATAGAACGTATTCGTTGATGTGTTATTTTCTTCATATTGATGATACGTCACTTCTCTGCAGATCATGGGTTCTATGAGGGTCTTATCGTTCATCGCTAATGGTTTCTATATCTACTACCCCATGCTTATATTGCTGCTATGTATCGCTACCTACTTCAGGTGAGTCCAGCCTGCTGTTTAGATTATGAAATTACAATACATTTGTGGTGTAGACAAACACATCAATAATACTACGATACGGAATGATATCAACTTGCTATTCTACAATGAGTACTCCACCAATGACCCAAAAGGACTATCAGCACACATACATACTGTGCAAGAATAAGTATTGATTAATGACAGATCAACACTGTTTCTGTATGAACCCTTTAGCCTGGGTACCCGCTGTCTGAACCTCCTGGGCTTTCAGCAGTTTGTGGGAGACAATGAAATGACCTCTGACTTGATTGATGAGGGCAAGGAGCTCATTCGACGAGGTTTGGCCCCACTTGATCTGAATTAAAACCATTTGACAGTGGAAAAAGCTTTGGTTTTCTGTGTACGTGTTGTTTACTCAAACATCGGTACTTAGTGATTTCTCTGTGTTTCTGACAGAGAAAAGAAAGCGCCAAAGGACAGAGGATGGAGAGAACCGACGAAGGGTGAGTCCCTAGCTTAAATTTCCCATGCCCCTTTTAGTATGTGTGTTGGTTGCTATTTTTGCAGAGAAACGGATCAAGGTGTTAACGTCAGGCTTGTGCCTGTGTTCTAGGAGTGGAAGGAGCGCTATGGTAACACGCGGGAGGACACCGCCAGGAACAGGAATAGAAATGAAGCAGCAGAAATGACGGAGACTAACTACTCTGATACTGTCCCTATCCCTAACACTAACCCTAACAGACGTAAGTGAATGGTCGCAAAGCCTACTTAAATTACATTATGCTTGTTTTCTACAGTTTGGCTAGATTTTACTCATTGCTTTGTTAAACAATGAATCAATGTTTTGTTTGCTCTTGTAGTGTCATGGCTTATCTTGATGACACGAAGGATATCGACACCACAACTTCATAAAAAAAATTCTAAGTCCCTTATTGAATGTATCTAAATTTAACTGCGGAAGGCAGTGATATGGTATTGATCATTATTTTTTCATCAACAGAGGCGAAGTACTCTCGGACTGGCAGAGGAACAGAGAGAGACTCTATAGAACTTCTCGAGGACGCGGAGCCTTTGGACTTCAATGCAGAGACAGTTTCAGACGACCCTCTTGAAGCAGACTCCACCAGGTAAGAGGTCCTCCAGTCCCCACTCTATCTAAATAAGTGTGTTAGTTTCACATTCTGCTCTGCTGTGGACGATACCTGTAAGCAAATAACACAAAGTGTGTGTTGTTAAACATATGCTCACTGTGCCTCTCCATTTTGCAGGCATGTACCAGGCAGGTACCTGTCCATGTCCTCGTCACGGAGCAGAATCTTTGATGATGTTTGAGAGGAGTAGCGAGGGAGAGTCGAAGGAACAGGAAAGCTAAATATTGCACATACATTTTCATCCTCCACTCATCCACCTTGCAGGGAAGACAATACGAAGGAGAGACGCTCTCTCAACCTCTGTGAATGTAGCACATGACCTCTATCTTCCTCTACACTATTGGCATGATGTATCTGCTGCCCCTCATCTCCAATAGCTTGTCGCCTGTCAGAACACTCCAGTGGCTGTTGATATACACTTCCCCATCAGGCAGATAGAGGTCCTCCCCTGTGCCAGCCAGTGTGCAGCATGTCATGAATGCAAATCCGTACCCCATTTGGGTTCATCACTGTTTCTCATCCGTTAAACCACGTCATCATTTCTGTTATTACTTATGCATGAATTTCCGTTCAAGGTCCTCTTCGCGTGGTACCCCCTGTGATCTTTACAATGTATGTATAAAGTGTGTCTTCCCTCAAAAATATGGTTGATGGGCTGAGTACATTGTTAATCATTTTGATGAGAAGATAAGTAATTACTACTAATTAAGTATCTTTTTGGAGGAAGACATATTTATACATTATGAAGTTGTATTTAACCCCTGGAAAGAAGAAATAGTGAAATAGTGGAACAAATGATCAATGTTTCAATGAATTAGTATTTTGTTGCCAGTCTTATATTATTCTGGTATATGGATGGAAGGACAGTTCCTTCGGTCTGTTTCTGAAGCTGCTACCATAGAAACTGAGTGTACAGTGTATAGACCTATAGTCCTCGATTTAATGTGCAATCTATGTGATCCAGCCCACACTGAGTTAACTGAATTAGCACATAGTGTTTGTACTGCCCATAGAGCTAAATCCTAACTTGAGATGCAGTATGTGTTCTTATCGTGCACGTGAATTGATGTGAGATCTGTGAAAATCGGATCTCAAGTTGGAATTCGGCCCATAATGCTAGCGATGCAATTGATGGAGGTCAACTGATACAAAAAATATATTTACCATTGCTCTTAATTGTGATGTATTCTCTATGTTCTATTCCGAGTGTCAAAATGACCTTTAAACTTTTGTTTAAAAATAGTTTTTTTGGAATTCTGTTGAAAGGCATGTTTAAAAATAATTTTCAATATTGTGTCATTAGCCATTGACTGCTTGATATTAGTAACGCCTTATTTATTGTCAAACCATTTGAATTGTAGGTGTTAAAAATTATCTACTGAAGTCTTTTTGGGATATCATTGTGCCATATTGTTTTATTTTAGTTGTTTACAAAAATGGCTAATTTAATTTTTTGTCCAGTTATGATTTCATTGTTTTATTTTAGTTGTTTACAAAAATGGCTAATTTAATTTTTTGTCCAGTTATGATTTCATTGTTTTTGGTTTAATTACTTGGCTCAAGTCGAAAAAGAAAAGTGACCTTTAAATGTATTTCATTTAAATATTTATTCTTACATTGTTCAAGAGGTCTTGCTGGAAGGTACTGTGAGGCAACAGGTCATTATGTCACTGAAATACAGTCTCAAACACCTTTCACAGCAGTTGACCTAGAAGTATGTCTTCATGTTGTGTCAACTTGAAACAACTACTATAACTGTATGAGCTTGGTTGGATGAGGAATTCGGTTAAGACACACACACAGTCAGTAGCATGCAGGTCAAATGCATGGTATTCACCTTTGAAGGAGTTGGACGATTATTCTAAAATCGTGTTTAATTGTTTTGTAATCTGCTGTAAATATTATAGATTTAACTATTCCCCCGTCTCTCAATGTCTTTGTTAATGATGCCCTCTTGTATATTTTGTTTTATTTTTATTATATTGTTCTATTAATATAGTAGACAAAGGTCAACACATGTACAACATGCTATTTATTGTAAATTAATTTAACGTCATCGGTTAACAATGTTAACAAAGGTCACTGGTAACCATGGGTAAAAAATGGTCTTGTCAGGTTAGATTCCCCTTTATCTCCTTACAATCTCTTTTTGTAAAAAGTAAGAAATGAATTAAAGTGATGCTCCCAAACGTTTGTATAATTTCAACCACTAGTTTTGAAAGTGGTTCTCACGAGCCAAAACGGGTCCCAGTTTTTTGTGTACTACGTCAACCAATTTTGTACTATGTCATCCATTTTGTATATTATGTTACATTCTGATTTTTTATTTTATGCAATTCCTATGATATGTTACGAATCCAATTCGTACAATATGTTACGAATTTGTTGTGCTTAAGATCCTGAACTGCATCTTTAAAGTAAAGTTCCTAATGAATTATATAGAAGAGTGTAGTGTTAGTGAGATGCACTACATGACCAAAAGTATGTGGACACCTGTTTGTCGAACATCTAATTTCAAAATCATGGGCATTAATATGGAGTTGGTCCCCCCCTTACTGCTACAGTGAGGGAAAAAAGTATTTGATCCCCTGCTGATTTTGTACGTTTACCCACTGACAAAGAAATGATCAGTCTATAATTTTAATGGTAGGTTTATTTAAACAGTGAGAGACAGAATAACAACAACAAATCCAGAAAACGCATGTCAAAAATGTTATAAATTGATTTGCATTTTAATGAGGGAAATAAGTATTTGACCCCCTCTCAAGCAAAAAGATTTCTGGCTCCCAGGTGTCTTTTATACAGGTAACGAGCTGAGATTAGGAGCACACTCTTAAAGGGAGTGCTCCTAATCTCAGTTTGTTACCTGTATAAAAGACACCTGTCCACAGAATCAATCAATCAATCAGATTCCAAACTCTCCACCATGGCCAATACCAAAGAGCTCTCCAAGGATGTCAGGGACAATATTGTAGACCTACACAAGGCTGGAATGGGCTACAAGACCATTGCCAAGCAGCTTGGTGAGAAGGTGACAACAGTTGGTGCGATTATTCGCAAATGGAAGAAACACAAAATAACTGTCAATCTCCCTCAGCCTGGGGCTCCATGCAAGATCTCACCTTGTGGAGTTGCAATGATCATGAGAACGGTGAGGAATCAGCCCAGAACTACACGGGAGGATCTTGTCAATGATCTCAAGGCAGCTGGGACCATAGTCACCAAGAAAACAATTGGTAACACACTACGCCGTGAAGGACTGAAATCCTGCAGCGCCCACAAGGTCCCCCTGCTCAAGAAAGCACATATACAGGCCCGTCTGAAGTTTGCCATTGAACATCTGAATGATTCAGAGGAGAACTGGGTGAAAGTGTTGTGGTCAGATGAGACCAAAATCGAGCTCTTTGGCATCAACTCAACTCGCCGTGTTTGGAGGAGGAGGAATGCTGCCTATGACCCCAAGAACACCATCTCCACCGTCAAACATGGAGGTGGAAACATTATGCTTTGGGGGTGTTTTCTGCCAAGGGGACAGGACAACTTCACCGCATCAAAGGGACGATGGACGGGGCCATGTACCGTCAAATCTTGGGTGAGAACCTCCTTCCCTCAGCCAGGGCATTGAAAATGGGTCGTGGATGGGTATTCCAGCATGACAATGACCCAAAACACGGCCAAGGCAACAAAGGAGTGGCTCAAGAAGAAGCACATTAAGGTCCTGGAGTGGCCTAGCCAGTCTCCAGACCTTAATCCCATAGAAAATCTGTGGAGGGAGCTGAAGGTTCGAGTTGCCAAACGTCAGCCTCAACCTTAATGACTTGGAGAAGATCCCTCCTGAGATGTGTGCAAACCTGGTGGCCAACTACAAGAAACGTCTGAACTCTGTGATTGCCAACAAGGGTTTTGCCACCAAGTACTAAGTCATGTTTTGCAGAGGGGTCAAATACTTATTTCCCTCATTAAAATGCAAATCAATTTATAAGATTTTTGACATGCGTTTTTCTGTATTTTTTTGTTGTTATTCTGTCTCTCACTGTTCAAATAAACCTACCATTAAAATGATAGACTGATCATGTCTTTGTCAGTGGGCAAACGTACAAAATCAGCAGGAGATCAAATACTTTTTTCCCTCACTGTATAATAGCCTAGATGTCCCTCACTGATTTCCACTAGATGTTGGAACATTGCTGCCATTCAGCGACGAGCATTAGTGAGGTCGGGCACTGATGTTGGGTGATTAGGCCTGGCTCGTAGTCGGCGTTCCAATTCATCCCAAAGGTGTTCAATGGGGTTGAGGTCAGGGCTCTGCAGGCCAGTCAAGTTCTTCCACACTGATCTTGACAAAACCTTTCTGTGCTTTCAAAGTTGGAAGCACAGAATCGTCTAGAATGTCATTGTATGTTGTAGCGTTAAAAGATTTCCCTTCACTGGAACTAAGGGGCTTAGCCCAAACCATGAAAAACAGCCCCAGACCATTATTCCTCCTCCACCAAACTTTACAGTTGGCACTATGCATTGGGGCAGGTAGCGTTCTCCTGGCATCTGCCAAACCCAGATTCGTCTGTCAGACTGCCAGATGGTGAAGCATGATTCATCACTCCAGAGAACGCGTTTCCACTGCTCCAGAGTCCAATGGTGGCGAGCTTTACACCCCTCCAGCCAACGCTTAGCATTGCGCATGGTGATCTTAGTGAGTCTTGCAACAGAGGACATCATGTTTACGCGCTTCAGCACTCGGCGGTCCCGTTCTGTGAGCTTGTGTGGCCAACCACTTCGCGGCTGAACCGTTGTTGCTCCTAGACGTTTCCACTTCACAATAACAGCACTTACAGTTGACCAGGGCAGAAATTTGACGAACTGACTTGTTGGAAAGGTGGCATCCTGTGACAGTGCCATGTTGAAAGTCACTGAGATTTTATACACCTGTCAGCAACTGGTGTGGCTGAAATAGCAGAATCCACTAATTTTGAAGGGGTGTCCACATACTTTTGTCTGTATAGTGTTGCTAGGTAACCTCACACTTATTTTGGTGAAGATGTTTGGTTTTTCTTTGTATCTTGAGATATATGTACAGATATATTTCATTTTCTCTACACTGTACTCTGATGCTGGAATGTGATCATTTATTCAACCCTGGCGTTGGTCCTCTTTTGTGTAGTATTTAGACTAAAATAACATAGTATACCAGTGTTGTGCAACTAAATAAACTAAAGCATCTTTAAATTATGCATTCAGCTCATCATATTTTGTGGAGAAGAGTGGCAATGAACAGCCAGGATCAGGGTCACTTATGTTGCACTTGTCACCTTTCGTTACAATAAGAAAAAGGTTATTTATATCTTTGTTGGCTGGCTTGCCCAGACCTCGGTATGACTGCAGCGCCTAGAACAATGATTATTTAGTATGTTTGTTTAAAAACTCTGACTGTGTTCGAGAATATCAAAACCGTAATGTATCATGGGTAAAATGTGACTGACCGATTGATCTACAAATAATAAGCAGGTGTTTATGATGCAGGTCAGTCAGTCGGCAGTCGCCTGCAATGTCGAACAAGCCCTCTGCCTACAATCTACAGTAGGCGACCTGGAACAACGGCCACCCCGTGAAGGCAAGCCCACATTTCTATGGAAACGGTAACGCTGGTGCGGAGAGGGGCGGCTGCTGAAGTTTGGTTGTGTTTGTTGTTTGACAGTTAGCTACAGGTTGCAATACAAATTTGTAAGGTAAGTTTATCGCATCTACAGATAAAGTAGCAAACAAACTCGAAATAACTTGTTTGGTATTTAGGAATCTAATTATCTAAATGTAAACAGTCAGACTTTATTGTAAGTATGGTCATAAGCTAACGTTACTTGCTAGGCTAGTTTGACCGTTCAGCGAGCAAGCGCTAGGGGCGCGTTCAGCAGGACGTAACGTTTTGGAACGTTCATATATACATATGTAGAACAAACACGAGTTTGGCACCCCCTAAAGCAGGGGTGCCAAACTCATTCCATGGAGGGCCAAGTGTCTGCAGGTTTTAGTTTTTTCCTTTAAATTAAGTCCTAGACAACCAGGTGAGTGGTCCTTTACTAATTAGTGACTTTAATTCATCAATTGACCTAGATATGTTGTGTGTATGTATTGATATATAAGCTATGTGTGCCGTTTTTAAATGTATGTAGTTCTGTCCTTGAGCTGTTCTTGTCTATTAATGTTCTATATTATGTCATGTTTAATGTTCTGTGTGGACCCCAGGAAGAGTAGCTGTGGCTTTCGCAACAGCTAATGGGGATCCTATTAAAATACCAATCAAGTACAAGGGAGGATCGAAAACCTGCATACACTCAGCCCTCTGTAGAATGAGTTTGACACGTGCCCCAAGGCTTTGTCACAGAGCCGGTTCCAGGCATAAGGGACATAAACGGTTGTGTAGGGCTCCCGGCCGGTAGGGGGCCACAAAAATGTTTACATTTTTATTTTAGGAACTCAGTCAGGGTCTCAACTTACTATTGCGAGTAAGAATAGTAGAATGCACCAGGTGCAATTTAGAATTTTGGTTGTGCATCATTCAGCAGTTTTTCTCTTGTTACAGTGGGGGAAAAAGTATTTAGTCAGCCACCAATTGTGCAAGTTCTCCCACTTAAAAATATGAGAGAGACCTGTAATTTTCATCATATGTACACGTCAACTATGACAGACAAATTGAGGAAAAAAAATCCAGAAAATTACATTGTAGGATTTTTAATGAATTTATTTGCAAATTATGGTGGAAAATACGTATTTGGTCACCTACAAAGAAGCAAGATTTCTGGCTCTCACAGACCTGTAACTTCTTCTTTAAGAGGCTCCTCTGTCCTCCACTCGTTACCTGTATTTATGGCACCTGTTTGAACTTGTTATCAGTATAAAAGACACCTGTCCACAACCTCAAACAGTCACACTCCAAACTCCACTATGGCCAAGACCAAAGAGCTGTCAAAGGACACCAGAAACAAAATTGTAGACCTGCACCAGGCTGGGAAGACTGAATCTGCAATAGGTAAGCAGCTTGGTTTGAAGAAATCAACTGTGGGAGCAATTATTAGGAAATGAAAGACATACAAGACCACTGATAATCTCCCTCGATCTGGGGCTCCACGCAAGATCTCACCCCGTGGGGTCAAAATGATCACAAGAACAATGAGCAAAAATCCCAGAACCACACGGGGGGACGTAGTGAATGACCTGCAGAGAGCTGGGACCAAAGTAACAAAGCCTACCATCAGTAACACACTACGCCGCCAGGGACTCAAATCCTGCAGTGCCAGACGTGTCTCCCTGCTTAAGACAGTACATGTCCAGGCCCATCTGAAGTTTGCTAGAGTGCATTTGGATGATCCAGAAGAGGATTGGGAGAATGTCATATGGTCAGATGAAACCAAAATAGAACTTTTTGGTAAAAACTCAACTTGTCGTGTTTGGAGGACAAAGAATGCTGAGTTGCATCCAAAGAACACCATACTTACTGTGATGCATGGGGGTGGAAACATCATGCTTTGGGGCTGTTTTTCTGCAAAGGGACCAGGACGACTGATCCGTGTAAAGGAAAGAATGAATGGGACCATGTATCGTGAGATTTTGAGTGAAAACCTCCTTCCATCAGCAAGGGCATTGAAGATGAAACGTGGCTGGGTCTTTCAGCATGACAATGATCCCAAACACACCGCCCGGGCAACGAAGGAGTGGCTTCGTAAGAAGCATTTCAAGGTCCTGGAGTGGCCTAGCCAGTCTCCAGATCTCAACCCCATAGAACATCTTTGGAGGGAGTTGAAAGTCCGTGTTGCCCAGCGACAGCCCCAAAACATCACTGCTCTAGAGGAGATCTGCATGGAGGAATGGGCCAAAATACCAGCAACAGTGTGTGAAAACCTTGTGAAGACTTACAGAAAACGTTTGACCTGTGACATTGCCAAAAAACGTTTGACTTTTGTTATTGACCAAATACTTATTTTCCACCATAATTTGCAAATAAATTCATTAAAAATCCTACAATGTGATTTTCAGGATTTTTTTTTCTCATTTTGTCTGTCATAGTTGACGTGTATCTATGATGAAAATTACAGGCCTCTCTCATCTTTTTAAGTGGGAGAACTTGCACAATTGGTGGCTGACTAAATACTTTTTTCCCCCACTGTATGTCAGTCACTGACAATCACTCAATTAGCCATGTCAGCTAACAAGTTTTAAATCGGTAGTTAGTCTAGCCAGCTATCTAAACTTGTAGTAATCATAGCCGAATACTGACCGGGCACGTGCCCAGTGCCCTTACCTCCAGGGAGCCCCCATTGATTTTGTTAGTCATTCTTACTCAGATATCATATTAACATGTCATAAGTCATGGCAAAATGTGTAGAATTGCAGGAAATTAGCTTTAAAACTGCAAAATAAATTCTCCACCCCATTGGTAAAATTGATAGAATTGCAAGAAATTAGCTGTGAAACTGCACTTTCTTTCTCTCTGCCCCATGGGAAAATGAGTAGAATTGCATGACAATTTTTAAAAAATGGCTACATTTTGTCTCCGCTCAATGGCAAAATGTTTAGAATTGCAGAAAAATTGCAACATGTTCTCTAACTTTAAAACTTGTTTCTCTCTGCTGTCAAGAGGGGGGCCACTAAAATGTTTTGCAGCAAGGTGGGGGGGCCCCCAACCAAATCTTGCTGAGGGCCCCTAAAAGGCTAGAGCCGGCCCTGCTTTGTCACACATACCGGTAGCTATGCATAGCTCTAGCATTATGTTTAATTTATCTTTGTCTACAACGTCACTCAAAAGCTGTACTAGACATCACTGAAATGTGTCAATGTTTTTGGCATCAAATCGCATTGTATGCATGCAAATCAGCGACACAAATTGATTACCTTCCTGCAGACTACAAGTATCATGGCAGGAACGTCACGACATGATCGGGAGATGGCGGTGAATGCCAAAAAACAGTTGTCTGTATGCACAGACCCTGTGGATCGGCTGAGGATGCAGTGTCTCGCACGTGGCTCTTCTGGCATCAAGGGTCTGGGCAGGTGAGAGAAAAAAACCAGTATACTCTTATGTGAAGGGCAGAGGTATTGGTTCTGCATCTTATGTGAAGGGCAGAGGTATTGGTTCTGCATCTTATGTGAAGGGCAGAGGTATTGGTTCTGCATCTTATGTGAAGGGCAGAGGTATTGGTTCTGCATCTTATGTGAAGGGCAGAGGTATTGGTTCTGCATCTTATGTGAAGGGCAGAGGTATTGGTTCTGCATCTTATGTGAAGGGCAGAGGTATTGGTTCTGCATCTTATGTGAAGGGCAGAGGTATTGGTTCTGCATCTTATGTGAAGGGCAGAGGTATTGGTTCTGCATCAAGTGATGTGTTGCCCAGGTCATCAAAATCAAATGTTTGATATAGTAGCAGTAGTGATTGATCAAACACTTTACTATAGGCAATCCTGTCAAGTAGTCTGAATTAGGCTACTGTCCTGTGTCAAGAAGAAAGCTCTAGATTGGCTTCTAAGATGCAAGGATTGTTTTAACAATGTAAACTCCAAGAAATACTTTCTTATTTGCTTCAACTGCCACATATTTATCTTTTTTTCTTCAATGGTTTATTTGTCAGAACATTCAGGATAATGGATGATGACAACAACCGTACATTGGATGTGAAGGAGTTCATGAAGGGCCTTAATGACTACGGTGTCCTCATCGAGAAAGATGAGGCCCTGGCAATGTTTCAAAGTTTTGACCGGGATAACAGTGGACTCATTGACTTTGATGAATTTCTCCTCACTCTCAGGGTAAATATGAGTGGTAGGGGTAAACCTCTGAATTACATGATACATTTGATCATACTTATTTAATCTGGGAACTTTGTGCTTTATTTCTGGTTGTGCTGGTTATGATCACAGCCCCCGATGTCCAATGCCAGGAAGGAGGTGATCATGCAGGCCTTTAGGAAGCTGGATAAGACTGGTGACGGTGTGATCACTATTGAAGATCTGAGGGGGGTTTACAATGCCAAGTACCACCCCAAATATCAAAACGGGGAGTGGACAGAGGAGCAAGTATTCTGCAAATTCCTGGACAGCTTCGACTCTCCTTACGACAAGGACGGAAAGGTAATACTGATAACATCACACCATACTGACCTGGTCACTTTCAGGCCTCGGGGTTGTAAAATATGAAAATGTTGGATCGAGGTTATAGTGGTCTTACCAGAGGAGGCTGGTGGGAGGAGCTATAGGAGGACGGGCTCATTGTAACGGCTGGAATGGAATTAATGGAACAAAGTCAAATGTGGTTTTCATATGTTTGATTTGTTTGATAATGTTCCATTTATTCCATTCCAGCCATTACAATGAACCCGTCCTCCTATAGCTCCTCCCACCAGCCTCCCCTGGGTCTTACTATCGTCCACCACTACTGTAGTGTACACCTATACTGCTAAACTAACAGCCTGTACATTATTCAGTCAGATATACATTTGATTATCTGGACGCATGAGACATTTCTTAGGCTCCTGACATTTGCAGTACTGCATATCTGTGGAACCATCTTAAACTGTGTCATATCATATAAGCTGCCTACTGCCTTGTTCTTGTTAATCATCATGTCTTATTTCTGGAACATATTTGGTCACACAAGAAGAGTTTATGAATTACTATGCAGGCGTGAGCTCCTCCACTGATACGGATATCTACTTCATTATCATGATGAAAAGTGCCTGGAAACGTATTAACTAACGTCTTCTTGAGTCAATGTTTAGGGTAAAGACTAAAGAGCACTTAACCCTGGGATATGGACGGCAGAGGTCACACTTTATTCGGATAGTCATGATCTACCGATGGTGATACAATCAACAACCTATATGTTGATAAACTGCTTGCTAAGGTTAAGGTTAGGTTTAGAATAAGGGTTAGGGTTAGGTTAAGTTTAGGGTTAGGATAAGGGTAAGGGTTAGTGGATAGTTAGTTGAATTGTGACAATTCTACTGAACATCTACAAACCATCTACTTGGGACTATCCAAATGAAGTGTTACCACGGGAGATGGCATGTTGTCTCTTTTCACTTCTCTTTCTAGGTGCAGTAGTTTAGTGGGGTGTAATACTCTACTTTCTATCCTCAAGGTATTTACACTGCTCTTTGCCATTCTGTGGCTTTAGGCCTATTTCTCAAAGCTGTCAAACTGTTACAGGGAAACATGTATGTTACATAGTAGTACAATTCTAATAGAATTGGTAGTTGGTGGAGCTGTGTTTCTCACTCAGCCAGCAGATGTCAAGGTTTTGTTTTGTCTCTAGTTAGATATTGCACTTTAGTGGCCAGATTAACTAAGCATTTGGATGTTAGCTGAAAATGTCTGAATCTGCATTGAGGAACAAGTATTGATGGGGGAAACAAAAGGTTGTGACACATTCAACTCTCCCACAACATTGTCTGTCCCCATTCACTTCTTTGGTTTTTAGTTTTCAGCCTTATCAGGGTCGTGTGGAGTTTCTGTCTCTATCTGACACTGACGGTGTGGGCTGGTTCAGTAAGCTCTGTATGGCTGACACCTCCTTCCCTTCTGCAGGTCACAACGGAGGAGTTTCTCAACTACTACTGCGGAGTCAGCGCCTCCATCGATAGTGACGTCTATTTCATTCTCATGATGAAAAATGCATGGAAATTATGAGTTTTAAGTTGATAACTTCATGATAATAATTTTTAATGGACAGTTTTTCAAGGTGCCTTCTTAAACAAATATTATATTATGGAAATCATGTTGACAAACTAATATTAATAATGTCCCAATGATATGCAAATGATTATGAATGACTCGTATTTTAATTATATAGTCACTCTCTCCAGAAACGACCAATATTATGTATTGTAGAAATAGAAATTTGATGTCTCTGTACATCTATGGTCCACAGTTCCAATGTTAGATACAAATTTATAAAGATACAGGGAAATCATAAAGACTGATAAATCAAAGTACAGTCATTTCAGGAGAGGAAAGCAGAGGAAATGATACAACTCTGCATTTTCTTGTGGAATTATGCATAAAAATGTGATCTGTTTAATAAAAATGTTCACAAAATTTTACAATATGGTAATTTCTACACCGACAATGCTGTCACATTTGTCAGATTAAAATATACAAATACCGGATGACTACAGATTTTGTACAGTAAAATAAAAACAAAGCAATAATTTGCAGATGATGACTTTATGTTTAATGCTCCGCTAAAGTCTCCCATAAAGTGTTCAAGAAAAGGATAAAGCGTTCTGCATTGAAAACTATAATGTATGAGAGTACATAGTATAATATTATAATACATCCAAGTCAGTGTAAAAAAAAAACTACATACCGGTAACTGTGCAGGAAATACAATCACTTACAGTGGGGAGAACAAGTATTTGATACACTGCCGATTTTGCAGGTTTTCCTACTTACAAAGCATGTAGAGGTCTGTAATTTTTATCATAGGTACACTTCAAATGTGAGAGACGGAATCTAAAACAAAAATCCAGAAAATCACATTGTATGATTTTTAAGTAATTAATTTGCATTTTATTGCATGACATAAGTATTTGATCACCTACCAACCAGTAAGAATTCCGGCTCTCACAGACCTGTTAGTTTTTATTTAAGAAGCCCTCATGTTCTCCACTCATTACCTGTATTAACTGCACCTGTTTGAACTCGTTACCTGTATAAAAGACACCTGTCCACACACTCAATCAAACAGACTCCAACCTCTCCGCAATGGCCAAGACCAGAGAGCTGTGTAAGGACATCAGGGATATAATTGTAGACCTGCACAAGGCTGGGATGGGCTACAGGACAATAGGCAAGCAGCTTGGTGAGAAGGCAACAACTGTTGGCGCAATTATTATAAAATGGAAGAAGTTCAAGATGACGGTCAATCACCCTCGGTCTGGGGCTCCATGCAAGATCTCACCTCGTGGGGCATCAATGATCATGAGGAAGGTGAGGGATCAGCCCACGGCAGGACCTGGTCAATGACCTGAAGAGAGCTGGGACCACAGTCTCAAAGAAAACCATTAGTAACACACTACGCAGTCATGGATTAAAATCCTGCAGCGCACGCAAGGTCCCCCTGCTCAAGCCAGCGCATGTCCAGGCCCGTCTGAAGTTTGCCAATGACCATCTGGATGATCCAGAGGAGGAATGGGAGAAGGTCATGTGGTCTGATGAGACAAAAATATAGCTTTTTGGTCTAAACTCCACTCACCGTGTTTGGAGGAAGAAGAAGGATGAGTACAACCCCAAGAACACCATCCCAACCGTGAAGCATGGAGGTGAAAACATCTTTCTTTGGGGATGCTTTTCTGCAAAGGGGACAGGACGACTGCACCGTATTGAGGGGAGGATGGATGGGGCCATGTATCACGAGATCTTGGCCAACAACCTCCTTCCCTCAGTAAGAGCATTGAAGATGGGTCGTGGCTGGGTCTTCCAGCATGACAACGACCCGAAACACACAGCCAGGGCAACTAAGGAGTGGCTCCGTAAGAAGCATCTCAAGGTCCTGGAGTGGCCTAGCCAGTCTCCAGACCTGAACCCAATAGAAAATCTTTGGAGGGAGCTGAAAGTCCGTATTGCCCAGCGACATCCCCGAAACCTGAAGAATCTGGAGAAGGTCTGTATGGAGGAGTGGGCCAAAATCCCTGCTGCAGTGTGTGCAAATCTGGTCAAGACCTACAGGAAACGTATGATCTCTGTAATTGCAAACAAAGGTTTCTGTACCAAATATTAAATTCTGCTTTTCTGATGTATCAAATACTTATGTCATGCAATAAAATGCAAATTAATTACTTAAAAATCATACAATGTGATTTTCTGGATTTTTGTTTTAGATTCCATCTCTCACAGTTGAAGTGTACCTATGATAGAAATTACAGACCTCTACATGCTTTGTAAGTAGGAAAACCTGCAAAATCGGCAGTGTATCAAATACTTGTTCTCCCCACTGTATGTGCAAAAAAAAACTAAAAACATAATGACAAACATTAAACACATAAGATGTGATTAATTGATGTGTAGAAGGGTTTAAACCCTGAAGAATTGACATTGTAGGGGCTGTATTCAATCCATATCACTGAAGCATTACATATTCCGCAATAGAAATTGAAGGATAATTTCCGAATGAGTCAACATATGCAACGTTTACCATGAATGCAGTCTCCACTAACGCGGGAACATTGCCTTTACATTTCATTCATGCTGTAACGCTGAACTTCTGCAATACGGATCAAATAGAGCCTTAGGTTTATTTAGCAGCTGTTGTCATGGTAAAGAGTATCTCTGTGATATGAAGCAGCAGTATGGATTAAGCCAAGGTGTCACGGTGGCTCATCAGCATACCGACAGGGGGTTAGTATAGTATGGGAAGTGCAAACACAGAAAGGATAATAAGGCAGCATTGTATTTCAAGTTAGTTAAGTCCTCCCTTGTCTTGTTTCTTAGCAACTAGCAACATATTAATAACACAAAACCAAATAAACACAATGAGGATTATTCCTGTTCTGTCTCCTATCATTTGTAAATAACATGTGCATTGAGTTCTGCTAGTCTCCTGTGATACTGGAAGTCAGTGGATGAGTCACGGTGAAATAAATAGACTTCAAATAAAAGCAGCCAAAGTCACTCGGAGTAAGAGTATAATAAGCAGCTATAATTAATCTTGACTAGATCATTCCGACTGACTGACTGACTCTGTCTGTCTGTCTGTGTCTCTCTCTCTCTCTCTCTCTCTCTCTCTCTCTCTCTCTCTCTCTCTCTCTCTCTCTCTCTCTCTCTCTCACTGGATCTGATAGAAACTAGACATGGTGACATAAGCCTCATCCTTGCCTCCTTGCTGAGTAGCACCTAGCCCCTCAGGACCAATGTTACCATCACTGTCGTCTGTCTCCATGCTCTCAATGTCACTCCTCAGATCCAGGATCCCCACGGTGGAGCCACTGTTCCCACTGCTCCCCGCCCCAGCGTCGAGGTGCTCTCCTGGGGACTCACACCTCAGCAGTATGGCCTCTGACCATCCACTACTGGTTGTATGGCAGGACGTCGTATCCCTATTACACTCTTGAATGAGGCATTGATCTTTTACCTCAGCGAGTCGATGGGAGTCAGAGTCAGGGGGTTGGGCGGTAAGGTCCTGCTCCTTGTCCGGCTCCACCTGCTGGATGTTGAGGTCACTGAACACCTCAGGGTCAAAGCTCACAGGTGGGCCCTGCTGGGTTAAAGGAAAGAGATGGGATAAACCAATATCCTCATAACTCATTATGGCCATTATCGTTCACTGTCTAGTGCATATCAGAGGACTTACCTTCATTGGCTCGTAGGTCTGGGCAATCTGGAGAAGTGTGTGTTTGGGATGTGGAATGCTTGGCCATATGAAGGAATGTATTCTGTGAGGACAGAGAGACATCAAGAGGATGACATGGAGGACATGCACACATACACACACACACACACACACACACACAAGTTGATGTGCAGAGCAAAAGGAGATCAATTTGATACTCACTGTTTTCTCCAGAAAAGACCAACTGCCAAAGTGACCAGCAGCAGGGCAGCAATGGGCACGATGAAAGAATAGGAAAGCAACTGCACGTCTGTCTCTGTAGGGAAGTAGGAGAGAGATGATGCATGTGACTCACATTTCCTGTACCTTGCTCTGTCACTTCCACCTAACTGCACAGTCCAGATATCATGCTAAGCTTTTTAGACACAAGTCTTTTTTTACCTGCGTTGGTGCTGAAACTGAGAGAGGCGCTCCACTCACTCCAGCTGCCATCAAAGTACCCCCCGTTTGGCTTGGCTCGAACCTTGACATGATACTCTGTGTTCTTATGGAGGTACTCGTCCCCCTCAATGATCAGAGGCTGATAGGTCATGTTTTTAACCTTTGAACAGGGTACACCATAAAAGAAGAACAAGACAATAAGTTAATGTTTCCAGATACACTGAGTGTACAAAACATTAGGAACACCTTCCTAATATTTAGTTGCAGACCTTTTTGCCCTCAGAACAGCCTAATTGAATGATATTCTCTGATGAAGTTCAACTGACCGAAAGCTTAGTCTCTATTAAAATAAATCTGACTGGAAGTGTGCGGAGAGTTTTTCCTGTTTCTTCAGTTTTGCATTTTTCCTCATGCACCTTCACTAATCAGTTTTGAGTGTGCGGTAGATTCTGCTTATTCTGATTCAATGATATGGAAATTATGATAATATAATTAAGCTTTTGCATCCACAAATCCAAGAAAAATAGGCTTTTGGCAACTGCACCAGAGTATTTTTGACACTCCAGATGCGTAGTTGGAACAGTTGATTGTTGTGTTTCAGGTAATCGTTCAGGTATGGATTCCCAATGTAAATAAGAGCCCGGTTGGAGGTCCTCAGAAATGTGGCATTCACCACCCAAGGACTCCTGGGTTTAACTGAAACATAAAGAAGAACAAGAAACAGAGGATATGTGTTCAGGGCAATTGATGCAAGTGCCAACTAAGGGCTATCAATTGATAGAAGGTGTCATGTAAAAATGCCTCATGTTACTTTCATTCAAACCATAGGGTGAGAAGGTATGAAATTATGATAACTTACTTATTTCTCTCAAACTCATTCTTTTCCAAAATGTGCCGCCTCGTTTGAATTGAACGGTGAGATTATACGATTGCAGAGTGTCCAGGTCCGTAAATGTGACATTATTACCCTTCTTTGTCAAACAGCGTTGCTTTTTGTCGTCTGTGTAGCTGTAAACATAATGTTCATAAAATCACATTATCAATAAATAATTTCCTAATCCATCTGAGGATTTTACACATCTGGATATCTGAATATGCAGTAAGGGTGGAGTTCTTCTACCCATGATATTTGTCATTTGTGTTGTATAAGCTCCTAACTAATACATCTGATGTTCAGTGGTCTTCAAGGAGGTTTATTACCAAAGACCCATGGCTTTTATGTCCTCGATTTCATCATCATCATCGGCATCATCATCAAGGTGGCAGGTTAGGCTGTTTCCTGCCAAGACACTGAGATGAGAGGTGCAGAGTATTCTGGGTTCTGGAAAGGAAACAAAACAAAACAATTTCAGCGGTTTGGATGGGGTCAAGAGCAGCAAATCTTTTGTCAAATACATTTTCGTACAGAATGAGAATGAACAGTTAATGTTGCACCATCACTGTGTTGGACACAAGTGTTGCACTGAGTCTTCAGGATTAAATCTCCTATTAAATCAATGAATGTAAATCATTTAAATATAACTCTTAAAGAGGAATGGCAGCTCACCATTGTCAACCAATTCTCCTCCACTTTGACAGTGCACCAGAACCGGGAACATGAGTAAGGCAATCCATAGGCTGTATGCCATTTCTCACGAAGCAGTCACACTAACGTAAGAGGTAGTGGCCCCAGATACAGCGGTGAGACTCTGGGGCACGCATGCACAAGGAACTCAAAGTGTTGTCTTAGCTGTCTCACTTAACTGTCAGTATAAATATCACAGAGGAGAGCAGAAAAGAGAGAGAGGGAGGAAGAGAGACAGCGAGAAAGAGAGAGATAAATGGAATGATCTATTCAAGATTATAGCTGCTTATTGCATTCTTACTCTGAGTGACATTGACTGAGGTTTTGAGGCGACAGTACAAAATATCACCTTTCATTTGAGGGTTTTTTCCACATATAATGGTGTTAGTATTTTATTAGGATCCCCATTAGCTACAACCAAAGCTGTTTAGAAATGAAAAGCTGTTCAGGAATGAAAGGACTTTATGTATCTAGTCATAAGTATTTGGACAAATTCCCTTATATGTGTATTAAAGTAGTCAAATGTTTAGTATTTGGTACCATATTCATAGCACACAATGACTACACCAAGCTTGTGAATCTACAAATTTGTTGGATGCATTTGCAGTTTGTTTTGGTTGTGTTTCAGATTATGTTGTGCCCAAGAATATAATATGTTTTAGAACACTTCTATCATGGATGCTACCATGATTATGGATAATCATGAATAACTCATGAATATTAATGAGTGAGAAAGTTACAGAGGCATAAATATCATACCCCCCAAAGAATGTTAACTTCCATTGTTATTGGTAATGGTGAGAGGTATAGCATGTCTTGGGGGTATGCTCTTTGTGCCTCTGTAACAATTGTTGGGTAAATGTTTCAGCAATGGGCAGGATAACTCTAGCCCTAACTTGAAGATTATTATTATCATATTATGAGCACACTATTCTCAGGGATATAACGGGGCTCAGCCTTTCAAGTTTTATCTGGTTTTGTGGCGTGGCTCCAGGTCACATTCTTATGAGAGAATTTCAGAGAATTGCTTGTATGAGAACTTTGTAATGAAAGGGGAATGTGGAGCAGGGGGTTGCCAGCTCAAGCAGTGCTCCAAGCATTACACTATGAGCAAGGCTTGCTGTTATGGACATCTTGTACAGTGGGGAAAAAAGTATTTAGTCAGCCACCAATTGTGCAAGTTCTCCCACTTAAAAAGATGAGAGAGGCCTGTAATTTTCATCATAGGTACACGTCAACTATGACAGACAAAATGAGATTTTCTCTCTCCAGAAAATCACATTGTAGGATTTTTTATGAATTAATTTGCAAATTATGGTGGAAAATAAGTATTTGGTCAATAACAAAAGTTTCTCAATACTTTGTTATATACCCTTTGTTGGCAATGACACAGGTCAAACGTTTTCTGTAAGTCTTCACAAGGTTTTCACACACTGTTGCTGGTATTTTGGCCCATTCCTCCATGCAGATCTCCTCTAGAGCAGTGATGTTTTGGGGCTGTCGCTGGGCAACACAGACTTTCAACTCCCTCCAAAGATTTTCTATGGGGTTGAGATCTGGAGACTGGCTAGGCCACTCCAGGACCTTGAAATGCTTCTTACGAAGCATTCCTTCATTGCCCTGGCGGTGTGTTTGGGATCATTGTCATGCTGAAAGACCCAGCCACGTTTCATCTTCAATGCCCTTGCTGATGGAAGGAGGTTTTCACTCAAAATATCACGATACATGGCCCCATTCATTCTTTCCTTTACACGGATCAGTCGTCCTGGTCCCTTTGCAGAAAAACAGCCCCAAAGCATGATGTTTCCACCCCCATGCTTCACAGTAGGTATGGTGTTCTTTGGATGCAACTCAGCATTCTTTGTCCTCCAAACACGACAAGTTGAGTTTTTACCAAAAAGTTATATTTTGGTGTCATCTGACCATATGACATTCTCCCAATCCTCTTCTGGATCATCCAAATGCACTCTAGCAAACTTCAGACGGGCCTGGACATGTACTGGCTTAAGCAGGGGGACATGTCTGGCACTGCAGGATTTGAGTCCCTGGCGGCGTAGTGTGTTACTGATGGTAGGCTTTGTTACTTTGGTCCTAGCTCTCTGCAGGTCATTCACTAGGTCCCCCCGTGTGGTTCTGGGATTTTTGGTCACCGTTCTTGTGATCATTTTGACCCCACAGGGTGAAATCTTGCGTGGAGCCCCAGATCGAGGGAGATTATCAGTGGTCTTGTATGTCTTCCATTTCATAATAATTGCTCCCACAGTTGATTTCTTCAAACCAAGCTGCTTACCTATTGCAGATTCAGTCTTCCCAGCCTGGTGCAGGTCTACAATTTTGTTTCTGGTTCCTTTGACAGCTCTTTGGTCTTGGCCATAGTGGAGTTTGGAGTGTGACTGTTTGAGGTTGTGGACAGGTGTCTTTTATACTGATAACAAGTTCAAACAGGTGCCATTAATACAGGTAACGAGTGGAGGACAGGGGAGCCTCTTAAAGAAGAAGTTACAGGTCTGTGAGAGCCAGAAATCTTGCTTGTTTGTAGGTGACCAAATACTTATTTTCCACCATAATTTGCAAATAAATTCATAAAAAAATCCTACAATGTGATTTTCTGGATTTTTTTTCCTCAATTTGTCTGTCATAGTTGACGTGTAGCTATGATGAAAATTACAGGCCTCTCTCATCTTTTTAAGTGGGAGAACTTGCACAATTGTTGGCTGACTAAATACTTTTTTGCCCCACTGTATATTTACACAGACAGAAGAATAGATCATCTTTTTACTTTCAAACACTTTTTTAATAGAGTACGGATCTGGTCATTTGAACATTGGAATAATGTTCAGCTTTCTTTGCTGTTGTGAAACAACCTGAGTCGTGCGTGCATTTAACAAGAAGATATTCTTCCTGCTATTGTACCAAGAACCATGAAGAGAAAAACAAACCAGTAACCTATAAAAACCACTTCCTGTCTACTCAAATGAACTGTTTTGGTTTCAAATGTAGCCAGATCGTACTCATCTTACTCAACACTAACCTTATCATTGAACAAGAGTTTGAGTTTGAATAATTCTTCACAATCGAAATATCCTCCATGGCTTACATATAAAAATAGAAAATCTGAAAAAGTTGCATTTATCACAAAGTTTGTAGAAATGTTCAAACCCTTTCCCATTACAGGATGTTGTAAGAATGACTTAACATTTGTGCTTGTTTCAACAGGTTTCAGTATTACAGTGATAAGGTTCCATTGCATTTGTGATATGACCAATGTGTCCTGTAACTTGACAGGAAAGGAAAACCCCTTACTGTGTTGCACATTTCCCTATTGTTTCTAGAGACCAACTTAACCACTAGGAAAACATTTGGGGTATACTGAATTCAGCACGTTTTTTCCTGCGCTTTTACACTTCAAATTGAAGAGTTTAATTCCGAAACGCTATATATTAACTTTCTGAAATGTTGGTAAATTAGCTTTTATAGAGATCAGTGTGACATGTACAGTGCATTCAGAAAGTATTCAGACCCATTAACTTTTTCCACATTTTGTTATGTTACAGCCTATTCTAAAATGAATTAAATCGTTTTTTTCTACACACAATAACCCAGAATGACAAAGCAAAAACAGGTTTTTAGATTTTATTTTTTAGAATGTATTAAAAATAAGAAACATAAATATCACATTTACATAAGTATTCAGACCCTTTACTCAGTACTTTGTTGAAGCACCTTTGGCAGCGATTACAGCCTCGGGTCTTTTGGGGTATGACGCTACAAGCTTGGCACACCTGTATTTGAGGAGTTTCTCCCATTCTTCAAATCAAATCAAATTTTATTGGTCACATGCGCCGAATACAACAGGTGCAGACATTACAGTGAAATGCTTACTTACTTCTTCTCTGCAGATCCTCGCAAGCTCTGTCAGGTTGGATGGGGAGCGTCGCTGCACAGCTATTGTCAGGTCTCTCCAGAGATGTTCGATCGGTTTCAAGTCCGGGCTCTGGCTGCGCCACTCAAGAACATTCAGAGACTTGTCCCGAAGCCACTCCTGTGTTGTCTTGGCTGTGTGCTTAGGGCCGTTGTCCTGTTAGAATGTAAACCTTCGCCCCAATCTGAGGTCCTGAGCACTCTGGAGCAGGTTTTCATCAAGGATCTCTCTGTAATTTGCTCCGTTCATCTTTCCCTCAAACCTGACTAGTCTCCCAGTCCCTGCCGCTGAAAAACATCCCCACAGCATGATACTGGCACCACCATGCTTCACCGTAGGGATGGTGCCAGGTTTCCTCCAGACGTGACGTTTGGCATTCAGGCCAAAGAGTTCAATCTTGGTTTCATCAGACAAGAGAATCTTGTTTCTTATGGTCTGAGAGTCCTTTAGCTGCCTTTTGGAAAACTCCAAGCGGACTATCATGTGCATTTTACTGAGAAGTGGCTTCCGAATGGCCACTCTACCATAAAGGCCTGATTGTTAGAGTGCTGCAGAGATGGTTGTCCTTCTGGACCGTTCTCCCACCTCCACAGAGGAACTCTGAAGCTGTCAGAGTGACCATCAGGTTCTTGGTCACCTCCCTGACCAAGGCCCTTCTCCCCTGATTGCTCAGTTTGGCTGGGCGGCCAGCTCTAGGAAGAGTCTTGGTGGTTCCAAACTTCTTCCATTTAAGTATGATGGAGGCCACTGTGTTCTTGGGGACCTTCAATGACGCAGAAATTTTTTGGTACCCTTCCCCAGATCTGTGCCTTGACACAATCCTGTCTCGGAGCTCTACGGACAATTTCTTTGTCCTCATGGCTTGGTTTTTGCTCTGACTTGCACTGTCAACTGTGGGACATTATATAGACAGATGTGTTCCTTTCCAAATGTCCAATCAATTGAATTTACCCCAGGTGGACTCCAATTAAATTGTAGAAACATTTCAAGGATGATCAATGGAAACAGGATGCAGCTGAGGTCATTTCGAGTCTCATAGCGAAGGGTCTGAATACTTATGTAAATAAGGTATTTCTAAAAACCTATTCTTGCTTTGTCATTATGGGGTTACAGTGGGGAAAAAAGTATTTAGTCAGCCACCAATTGTGCAAGTTCTCCCACTTAAAAAGATGAGAGAGGCCTGTAATTTTCATCATAGGTACACGTCAACTATGACAGACAAAATG